GCGAAGAGTGTACCTGTCTAAGCCGTGAATGCTTCTTCAAAGATTATGCTGAATGACTGTTCTGCCTGAGAACAGTGCCTTATGTGGTTGAAAATCTTCCAGAAGAAATGAACCCAGCAGCATTTCTAACACGATCCGAACTGGCAGAATAGGTCTACACTGGACTGGAGCTTCAGGATCATGGAGTTTTTCTGTGGTTGTTCTGAGAACCCTGAAGCCTCAGACACTCCGTCATCTTACCACAGCCTCACTGGTGGTTGTGCTGGTTGCTTGTCTTTCTGCCACTGTTGGCACTGGTAGGATCTCTCTCTTCCACCTGCTTGCCTGTTCTCACAACATCTTTAAGAACTTGAAAGGGACACTTACTCCTCCATGAAACCTCCATGAAAAGTAGTTGAAATGACACGGTGAATTCCTGAGGTGTTAGTGGAATTCAAACACACAGAGAAAATGGTTGTATAAGCATAATTTTTGTGGATGCAAACCAACAAACCACTGTTCTGCTGTGGGCAAATCTCATTTCTACCTTGGCTTCTATATTTGTGAAAAGGGAACTGTGACACTGTTCATGGTGACACTCCCCAGCATGTCAGAACAGTTGCATGTTGCTGCAGGGTTGCTGCTACAGTTCGGAAATTGATGGGCCCTCCATCAGGGAGGATGGATCTGCTCAGAGATACCCCCTTTCTAAAATGCAGATCTCCAAAGCCTACGGTTTGCATTGTTTTCCAGGGGGAGTGGGGTAGAAGGAGCTCTCTTCAGGCATGAGGCTTGTCCATAGGTCTGAGCATCCTGTGATGGTCTGCATCCCTGGGGGAAAGCACAAAAGCTGGGCAGACATCTGAGAAGCCTGATTCTTGCTGCATTACTTGCATACATCCAAGACAGTTACTTATTAGTGTAAGAATGAAGTAATACAGCAAGATATCTGACCCTTAATCAGGCCTTTTATTTTCAGCAGACTTTTTTACCCACTGGACCTAATGGGCAAGGTGACGGTTGTTCTTGCTGTCTCCTGCTGAGCTGTCATGCGTGGGTGCAGCTGGGTAGCTCAGGACCTGCTGTTAGCCCCCTGCTTTGACAGCGTAACTCCAGGTCATCTGTGGAACTGGTGCTGGTGCAACCCGGAGGAGAACCTGGGCCCACAGAAACTCCCCCTCCAGTCTCTGGTGGGGTGATTTAGGGGGGACGAATTCTGAGCCTCATCCCTGCACTGGCCAGCTTAAGCTAAGCTGGTAACGAGAAACTAGTGATGCTGGGTTTTTCCATGCTGGTCAGAAGTGAAACAAGCCTGGCAAGGGGATTTCTTGTAAAAGACCTCTGCAGTGTTGACTCAGGTTTCACTTCTCACTTCAAGAATAAATCCTGCTGATTCTTAGAGGAGGTTTCAAGGCTGCTCTCTGGTGGCTACCACTGTCATGGTACTTTTTGGAGGAGCAGGTAGGGTTTTCATTTGCCTCAGCAACAAGAAGTTTCATGAAAATCTGCACAATCCTTCTGGTTACTTCAGTTATCTGTAAGGGGTTTGGGGTGAGGTTTTTTCTCCTTTTTTTCTTTCCCGTCCATTGAACTGTCTTATTTCAAAGAGCTGCCGTGCCATGGAAAAGGAAAGCTGATTTTAACTCAGCATTGCTTTCTCCTGTCATAGCTGAGGATCCCCGCGCCTTATTCCCACTCCCACGACCTGCCACGGTCATCCTCATTCTTCCCACCGGGAGAAGCTGGGCGGCTCATCCCGGATCAGCGCCTGGTGATGAGAAATGCAGGCTGTCCTCCCCGGAGAAGCGTGGGTTGTCCACCCCCTGAGCTCTCCCGCAGCTCGTTGCAGTGGTCTCTGTGCTCTGGCCAGCGCTTCAGCTGGGGTCACCCTGCCTAAAACAGGCTCTCTTGGGTGAAATGGGCTCAGTCAGAGAGCAACCTGACTTCTCTCTGACTTTTCTCCCACCAGGAGACTGAAGGGCCCTGTCTGAACGAGGGGTATGTGGGACGGAGACCCCTGCTCTGCCACAGGTCTCCCCCCAGGAGCACCCTCTGCGGCTTGCAGGAAACAGCTGCAGGGAAGAGTGGCACCAGGGACCAGCCCAAAGCCTTTCACACTTACAAAGCAGATAAAAAGCACTGGAAGAAGACAAAAAGCCAGCAACGCTTAACAAGATGCCACATCTGGCGAGTGGTCCCCGGCGTACAGCGGTGGCATAGTTGGAGCCAGAAAAAAAAATCACTTTGCAGTTTTCCAGAATCTTAACAAACATTTCCAGATCACTGAAATGTGTCCTATAGGACGGAATGGGGGTAATTCAGCCAGATACTAAATGTAAATAATAGTGGTGGGTTAAATTTGCATTGTATCGCTTGGTAACTCTTCTAGGTTTTGTAGAAAGATTTTGTAGTGTTTTGGTGCAGTGCATTTCAGGAAGAGGAAGAGTGTTTTAAAAGCCCATGACCATCCTGGTTTACCAGATTGTTTCATAAACTTCATTCAAACCCTGCTGAAAATGCTTCTCCAGCTGTCATCTTTTGGAAACAACTTGTGAATCCTTCACCTTAGAAGGGGTCGTTCCTTTTCATGTCATTGCAGGAAAGATAGAGAAGATCAAGCCTCCTCCGTCCCCCACCACAGAAGGGCCCGTCTCGCAGTCTGACCAGCCACCCGAGGAGCCTGCAGGAGCCCAGCGACCCAAGAACCTGATGCAGACCCTCATGGAGGATTACGAAACACACAAAACTAAGAGACGAGAAAGGATGGACGACAGCAGCGTAAGTGCGCTTTTCCTTTTCACTATTTGCTCTGTGAGAGAGACCATGACTTGCAAGAACCAACATTCAGACAACAAAAATAATTTCTTTCCCAAGAATCTGCTCAGATCACCTTGTAAGTGCGTAAGGATTTTAACACATTGTAAGGGCCAGTGTGTTTGAAATGGAAGGATGAGGGACAATGGAGACGAAGAGAGAGTGTCACTGCAGATATCAAAGGCAACTCATATTAAGTTTCTTTTTCATTAATTAAGTTAATCAATAATAAGGGCAGTGGGTAGCTGTACTGCAATTGGTGGACTCTGTTAATTCACACATCACCAAGACCACCCACCAACCCCCAAGGGTTATTTTAGTGCCTCTTTGAGCTTTGTGCATCAAGCATGTATTCATGCCTGTGTTCGTAGACTCCCAAAGTCCCAACTCAGTGTGCTCGGGATTCAATGTAAGTACGTGGATAACTTCCCTAGAAACCACCCTTTGCAGAATTGGATTGGGAATGTCTCAGAAATTAACTTGGATGCTTCAACAGGCAGCATGCTGTTTCCCGCTGGATTTATTGTCTTTCTTCCACACAAACAGAAAATCAGACAGAATTTCAGTTTGTGAAATGGGTGCCTGCATTTCCATCATTACTGAAGCAATTATGGTGTTCTTTATTGGAGGCACTAATAAGAAGAGCTATGAATTTCATAGCTGGAAGCATCGAAATTCAGGTGCGTCCGTTATACAACCTATTTCCCAACAGAGCACATGGTGTTTCTTATTCAGACTCATTATTACTGTGGGCAATGAGTGCAGAAGGTAGTGAGATATAAGTGTGATATAAAACTTAAATGGACACAGCGTTTGCTGAAGCAGCCACAGTCCTCCAGGCATTTCCCAGAGATGTCAGAGTGATGACCCCAGCACCAAGGAGCTCATGCTCCAAACAAACTGCTTTCTAGCAACTTTCATTAAAGGTAGAGTCTCATTAGATGTATGGAAGTAAGTGAAGGTTTGTAACATCAATACTGCGCTAGTCTGGCAGCTTTTAATCGTTACTGGTGAATATTGCACAGTAGCGTAAGATACTTAATATCAGAAGGAATGCAATGTGGAGGGGTCCTGTTGCATTTCTGCTGGTTAACTAAAACGTAGTAGGACAGCTGACAAAATGTAAGCAGATTAATTTCCAGTGCATGCCAGAAACTTTCTGGTCCCTTCTTCTACTGAAGCCGTTGAAAAACAAGATCTCATCGTCCATCAGGCTCCTGCGGCCACGTAGGAAGCCAGCTTGTACACAGGAGTGTGCCTTGTTCTGGCAGCGGCATCTTGGGGCCGCATCTTGGGAAGGAGCTGCTCTCTGGTTTCCCCTCCATCCCCAAAGTACCCAGTGAAATGGGGTGGCTCTACCTGCTCTGGTGGGTGCTGTTTTCTGGCATCCCCCCGGAGGATCTTTTTCCCAGAAGGGTGCTCAGAGGCTTGCAGGAGACATGTCACACCCTCACGCCCTTTGCAAAAGCCACGAGGAACTTTAAAAAAAGAGGAGCATAAAACTCCTGCCGTGCAAACCAGAACTGGTTCTTGGGAGTCCCGCAGCGAGCGTCTGTCAGTCTGGCGGCTCAAAACCTCAGCACGGCAGCACCTCGGCTAAAGAGGTGACACTCAGCTGGTACTCACCCTGCACTTTTCCTCCACCCCCATGAAGAGCGAAGATGACTTGCCCAGCCCACGAAGCAGAGGCTTGTGGCTGAAATCTTCTCCCACAACTGTGATGGTCACATGCCGTTTGTCATGCATGTTGTAGCACACAAAAGACATGCAAGATGTCATTAGACCTAACTCCGTCTCCTCAGTTATCCGAGTGCAACTCCTCACGTGCTTGCAGAGCTACCTAGAGCAACCCTGGAAAGCAGGTTGGCCACGATTGCATAGTCTCTTCTGCAGTTTGAAGTGAGCCCTGGTCTGGGCAGCGTCTGACCAAAGAGGTGTGCTCTGGGTGCCGGCTCGGCTGTCCCCTGCTGCTAAAGCTTCCCAGGCACTGACTGCCCAAAGATGCACTGACAGAGCATTGGTGCTGCTCATACAACTTGTGGGATGGATCCTTTTCTGGGGCAAACTGTCAAGGCTGCAGTGAATTGACAGAGCCCCAGTGCGCACCGAAGTCCCTCAGTGTTGCAGTTTGTTGTCATTCTCCTCTTCTCTAAGCCCATCGCATACAGCCAAACGAGATCTACATTCATGCTGCTGCCTACCCAAAATCCTATTAGAGGGCAGGGTCCTGCAGAGCCCAGGGAGAGCTTCCTCGGACCAGCAGGAGTGTTTTGTTTCTCTTCCCTGCCTTCTTCCGCTCTCCTTTTGTAAACAACTCCCATCATTGACAGGGGAAAGATAATTCAAATAAGAAGTGTTGTTTGTTAGTTTGAGTTTACATGCCAGGCTGAGCAATAATTATTTAAACAACAGATAGCTTTGATTTGTCTGCAGAGGACATTCAACCGTGTGCTCAGGAAAAAGATTTCTGTAACTAATGAAAAAAAAGAGCACATCACCAGCCTGTTTTTAAAAATACTTGAAATATAGTGGGGAAGGAGCATAACTGACAACCAGACAGGCAGCTGCCGGTTGGAGCATTACGTCCTGAGAGCTGAATGTGGCAATGTGGCACGACATTGCTCTTTGTGAGTGAGGGGAACCGGAGACTTCCTGGGGTGCTGGGAGCAGTCAGGGTGCTGTGGCACCCAAGGCGGAACAGAGCCAGCGCATCTGCAGGGGCAGAGGCAGCAGCCACAGTCTCCTGAATGGGACTGAGAGGTTGGACGTCCATGGGATCTCCCCCTCATATGCTGAGCACACCAGGAGTACTGATGTATAGAGCTTCAGTTTCTCCCTGAAACCAAAGGCAGGAGGGTGGTTTCAGTAGGACGTATACCCTACCTCTCCTTTAACTGTCACTGTCTGTTTTATGTCTGGCTTCAGTGGCTACAACACAGCCGCCCTGGGCTTGCAGGTTTTGCCTTTCAGAGACAGAGGGCAAATCAAGCACATCTGCTCTTGGAAGAACTTCACTGCTCAGGCAAGGGGGCAGTTTCTTCCAAAGAGGATGTGTTACAGTAGAGGTTTCAACAGGTGAGAAAAAGAGAAAAAGCAGCAGCAAGAAAACAAGTCAAGCACTGATGGTAAACAAGACTGAGACTGGCCAAGCAACGTCATTAAAAAAACACCAAACTGAATAATCTTTTTTATTTTTTTTATGACACCAAGTTGCTTGAAATCCTGTACTCTGGGATGTGCCAGTTCTTGCAATTTCTTTATTTTGTTCTTGTTTCCTAGTTATAACATGCTTGTTCAATGTACTAATGCTGGTCTTTTCCCTTTCTACCAGTACACCTGTAAATTACTGTCTAGCAAGGTTACTTCTGAGGTACTTTTCAACTGCTTACTTATTTTTGCTTTCTCTTGCATGGTTCCAAGTGCATGTCGCTGCAGTTTGCATTTTCATGCTATGTGCCAGTGCTGTTTCATATCAAAACTGGGATGCAAATGTGTGTGGGGGATATTCCTTCTTGCCTCTCATCAACAAATATTTGTGTGGCTGGTTTTCTAACCCTTGGATTCTAGTTACAATTTCTGATATGGGAGGGGTTGTAATTAAAGGGATGGGAGGTGTTGCCCAGGACTGGAGCATTCCTGAGGCGTGAAATGAGAACTTCTCCTTAATCCCTGTTACCATTTAGCTGGCAAAGGTAAACCTGGGATCCAAGCATCCTCAGATGCTGAGTGAAACTGCTGTGGCTTTCCTTTGTCTCCGATGACAGTGTATTTAGCACTATCAAAACCTCTAATATTCTCTAAAGAATCTGCATACCAACCTTTCATCTGTGGAAGAAGAGTCAGATCCAAGCACAAGGCTTCAGTCTGGTGAATTTTGTGAACCTGTCCTTGTCCCTGTGTGTTGTGATGTGATGACTGATTACAGTCCCAAAACTTAGCATCAGTGTCGGTCTCAGAGTAGAAGAAACCTAGACCTGCTAAAGAAAGGGTATATACAGTGACATTTGGTATTTTAGCAAGGCAGTAACTTGCACAGTCCTTATCGCTAAAAGCTGGACTCTGCCAAATGCAGTAATTTAAGAGCAGGGAGTTGATACCAACTACACTTTCACAATGTTCATAGGAACAAGGTGCGCAATAATGTGGACATTTCTATTGCCTGTAATTTTCTGTGCAGACATATGTGTAAACCTGGACTTCTCTAAGAGACACAAACAGACTGTGGTAATGGCTGACATTCATTCGTCCAGCATCAGCATTTTTTTATAAACATGAACCTTCCAGTATTTCCCTATTCCATAACATATTTGACCACATCAGCTACCTCAAGACAAGTATATGAATATTTTCTGTCCTGGACGCTAAAGCAAAGTCAAGTCTATGCCATTTCGTATTCATTAAATAATTCAGTGTGGGTTTTATCTCACTGATACAAGCCAGTGATTGATCTTTGTGTAGAGTATTTATAGAGAGTTAGTCAGTATAAGAGCAGCGTGCTTTCAGAGACCTGGTTTTAAACACAGGTTGGGCCTCTTCTCCCCCACAGTATCTGCATAATAATCTGAGTTACAATTTGTGAATGGTAAGTAGTGATCAGAGCATTTGATGTTGTATGAAAGGCAGAAGATCAGGTGTACGTTTTACACACCCAGCCCTTGGCCTTCTGCTGAGAAGGGTTGTGTGTCCGCCTTGTAAAGTTATAGTGACGCAAGGAGTAATGAGCTGGAAATGAAAGTGCATGTATGGGAAAGGGGATAGAGATGAAAAAGGCTGTAGGACACAGCGATTCTGTACGCAGGTGAAGGTATGCCACCTGGCGTTAAGCCTCAGACTGAAGAAATCCTTTGGTTCTCACTGGAAATCTTTAGCTGAAGCCGGGCAGTTGTTTTAGAAGAGAACAGGAGGACTGAAGGCATGATACCCCCCTGCTCTCTACTGACCCCAGAGCTGAGCTGTGGCTCCTGTTCACCAGAGCCCTCCGTAATCCGCGCCGGTGCAGGCAGGTGGCTCAATTTTAATCACTGGCAGCGCTGGGGCTGACCCAGCTGTGCTTGTGCCGGCTGGGAGCAGGGGCTTGCATGCAGTCAGCCTGGCGTCTCCGCTCCGGTAAGCAGCAAACCCCCAGCAAAGTACAGTAACTGCTAAAGTTAAGCTACATGCAGCAAACCACAGCCTGCTTTGTTAGATTGATGTGGTTTTATCACCTCCAAATGCCTGCAGCCTGTGTTTAAAGCACATCCGTCTGCTGTTTTAAAGAGACCACAGGTAACTACGTGCCTGCATATATATAGGTTGGTTTTATCCTTGAGATCTTCTGCTTTTGTCCTTACAACTATACATATCTTCAAATTTATGGGACGTTATCCTGAGTTTGCTTAATATCAGTCATGCTGTAGGAGATACTTCAGTAAGGTGAGTGACATTTATGCAACATGAAAAGCTACTGCTGAAAATTTTTGTGTTACAAAACAGAAAATCAACATACTAGATTTGATGGCAAGAGGGCACATGGTTTATGTTTTAATACTGACCAGCAGCAGTATAATACTGTTACTAGTTTCAGGTAAATGCATTTTTGTCTCAGACACCCAGCCCCTCGCTGTGCTCCCTAGAGATCTGCTGTATTCAGTGAATAGCATTAAGTAGGTACAGTAAAGAAAATACCTTTGTACTGGAGAAATAGATGTTCTCCGTCCCTCAGTAGTTCCAGTTTTATGTTAAAGCATTTAGTTTATCGTTCCTGAGCGGGAATGCTCACATCTGCAGGAGCAGGCAGCCTGTTCCCTGCCTTTGTGCTTCTGTCTTTGTGCACGGTGTGCTCCACGGAGGTGTCTCGAGCAGTGACTTTTCCGCATGGTACTGGTAGATTTTAGACACCCAGACCTTTGCATTTTCTGGTTTTGTTGCTTTTAGTTCCTCCAGGTCCAGACGGGAAGAATCAGTAAAATACTAAGATCCAGAAAAATCATTTTCCTTCCACATCAGTTTTGTTGCTACTGTTCAATAAAAATTAGCCTGCACTGTAGTCAGTTTCATTCAGTGGTGGGGATAAATATGCTTTGGACTAAAGCATATCTGTGTTTTGCTTTTTATTCTCTTGTTGCCAGTAAGAGAGCAATTATTGTTACATCTTTTGGAAAGAAACTCAGGACAGGTTAGTCTCCATCTTTAGGACGGATAGATAAATTCATCTTATACCTGACAGTGGTAGCTCTTTCAATCTTTTTTTTTTTCCCGGAAATCCTCAAAAATAAATGAAATCTGCCAGGAAAGAGCCCTCTGCAATTCTTACCGAAACCACAGAGCTGCAACCACAAGATCCACACAGCAATTTTTTGCAGAGAGAGGTGAAGAGAGGTTTTTACAACTTATCTTGGTACATTTGTCTTTCCCTCACACCTATTTCTGCTCTCCAAATTCTTCCTCTTCTATTGCAGCTAGTAATCAAATTGCCTCTCCCAAATAAGATATTGTATATAACATTGCTTTTTTCACTGACGTAGCCTTACCATTAGGACGTAGCCAGCTCAGTTCTTCAGCGTGAGCTTGAGTGAACTGTCTGCTTCATGATCTTTCTGATTTTCGGTATACAGATTCTGCATGCAGATATCAGCCTGGCTGCCTTAGGACACCCTGACCACCCAAGCCTGGCCCTGAGTCGCCCTGCCTGCACCCGCTGAGCTGTCGTGGGGCATCATCAGGGAGGACACTTATGAAGCGTTGAGGTAGCATTTTGTAACGTGGCCAAAATGCAGTGTGTTACAGACCCCCAAAACAGCCACAACAACAAAAGCAAAAGACTTTCCTTCCTTTGACTTGCTGTGGAGAGCCTCTGGGTGCTGGACTCATGATGGGTCTACAGACAGCCCTGATATCTGCCAAGAATATTTTAAGATGGAGATCATTTGCTATTTTAGGCAAGCGGCTTCCTGGGTTGTGAATTCAATGCTCCATTGAGGAGTCCCAATTCTCCACTCAGTCATTCCAGTTGCATGCTATAATTACCCCATTGTTTCCTCTAGCGGGTGTAAAACTGACACAGCCTAGTAAAAATTAGGGTTATTTTAGGTCAAACACTCTTTTCAGTAGATTAGAGGAATAATTCTGGAGTAACTATTCAAAAGGACCTTTGGCTTATTAGTATTTGCTCTACTATTTCGTGGGCTTATTTATTAATACTAAGCCAGACATCAGTACTTGTTTTCCTGCAAAGGCTAAGTCCACATTCAGTGCCCCCATGGTATCTGTGATGTAATTCTGGAAACAGTTTTCCTTGGAGCAACCAGCAACATTTGCCGTCTTTTAAGACAAAGATGAGCTGTCTGATCCAGAGCAGAAATCCTCAAAGTTTAAGGGTCCTGACTGTTGCAAGCCATCACCAGAGACCATTACAACATTGTGATTTCCAGCAAGGAAGACACTGATTGGAAACTGTTGTAGAGTATGTAAAATCCATTTTTTTTTCAGCTGGCATAAATCTACAGGCCAAATTTAGCAGACCTCATTTAAATATACCGCTACTTTCTGACAGTGGCAGTTTTGGTTTTAAATTTATGCTGAATTTGCTGGTTTTTCATGTAAATTTCTATATCCAGTGGCGAGAACAGTAATTTTCTGTGTTTTATTTAATCATTATCCAATGCTGGTCTTGATAGTCTCCTGTCTAGCAGCCTGTTGCCATCCAATAAAAAAAAATCACTGGTATTTTTCCCCCCTTCATTGCTAACCCTGGAGCAGCCACTGTCTTTTCTTATTCTGAGAAGATAATAAGATGATGCCCTGATACCCAGTCCCAGTTTTACTTCTCCATTGTTCAGTCTGGGTTGCCTTTCCTTGGTTCGGGCACTTGGAATCCCAAACATGTAGTTTAAACTGCTGATCCTCCCTCCTGCAGTGGGAGTAGCTCCAATATGCTGCTTACAGGCTGATGTCTCAGAAGGAGTTTTGTTACTGATTTCGATATTTTTTGTTGGATGAATCTGGAGGGCACATTTGCCCTCTACTGGGTAAAATAGAAACTGCTGAGCCCTGCTCACCCTTCTGGATGGTTGATCTGCAAAAAGAGGAGGCGTGATTTTGGGCAAAATTTCAGCAAAAAATCCCTCCAGTGGACACGGACCAGCTTTGTAGTCCTGGTCAGTGCCAGGAAGCAGATGGAGCTTTAGCTCAAAATTACCTCAGTTGGCTGGATTTTGCCTTTAGCTCTTTGGCTTGCTTATAGTCATAGTCAAAAAAAACTAGGAGGGCAAAGAAATAATAAAGCTGGCCAAACTCCACCCTCCTTCAGCTCCTGAATGGAGGTCTGGGTCTTAGCGTAAATGCAGAAGTGTGTTCTCATTCCCGTAAGCAAAGTTACGGCCTGTAATTCCAGCTGACAGTTCAGAGCTGATTTCCTGATGCTGCCTGTACAGGAGCCCCTAGTAGCTGTGTACTTCCCAACCACAGCTTGTCACAAGTTGAAAGAAGAGTTTCTTTAGTCTTAAATTATTTATTTTTATTCCAGTCAAGTCTTAAGTCCTCACTGCATCTGACTTTCTACGCAGAAGAGTAAAACAGCATCGTCCTTTCTCAGAAGGCCAGGTACTCTTCTGCAGTCAGGGAGTGTGCAGGGCAGCTTGCAGGAAGCGTTAGGGACCGGGGGTGGCAGGCGTCGGTTCAGTGAACAGTCACGTATTTGTTGGGGTTTTTTTAACAGTTATTTTTTTTAACTGACTTTTTAAACATTTCAAAAGTTTACTTCTTTGGGAGGGCTGTTTTAAGACACATTGTGGGCAGTGGACGTTGGCAGCTTTGTGGTTTGATCACGGAGCTGTTATTCAGTGTTGGTCAGAAAATAACACTGCCATGTGCTTCTGTAAGAAGGCCCCAGCTCCCTTCATGTCTCATTCTGCTGGGAGGAAAACACCCACTGCCATGCATTATTTGCCAAGGAGTACATCAGACGCACATCACAATAACACCTTTTGGTTTTGTCTGATTTTTTTTTAACCTTGTTAAAACACATATTAAAACTGCTTCTTACTTTTTCAGTTAATTGTTTCTGTGTGTGCATGTGTATAATACGTACACAGTGTGTGTATGTTTTTATATGTGTGTGTGTTTGCATGTATGAAAAATATATAAACGTATCAGGGCCCATCTTGTACTGGAGTCTGCAGGCTGTGCAGGTCCTCCTTGTGTAAATCTCCTTTCCCATACGCATGGAGTGATTTTTCACTCCAAGAGCACTTCGATCACCGTGCATAGGCTTTCCCGTTGGCATAGCTGCAAGCCAAAGACCACGAGCAGAAGATGCAGGGGGGGCTGCCTGCTTCTGCCTGTGGGGCTGACGTGCTGAAATAAGCAGCAGACTGCTTCCCAGGCTGCACATGCAGCTCCACAGCAGCCTCTGGACAAAGCTGCCGGGTGGTTGCTGGCTCCTGGTACTGAAGGTGTGCAGTTGCCTCTGGGGAGAGGACCAAGACCCTGTTCCCTGTCTTCCCCAGGCAGGGTGGGGGCAATGTGCAGCTGGGCTGGTAAGGGTCGGCCGGGGCTCCCCTGAAGCGAGCTGAATGCTGCCAGACAACTCCTACCGCTTCTGTCCTCCCATGGTGTGGCTTTGCTCTTGTGTGCCATCCCCCCCACCTTCACATCAGCAAGTGCTTCATCGCATGAGTCCTCCCAGTTTGCACGAGGTGCGGCACTGGGAGCCCTGCGGGAAGGGCTGGCCCTGCCTGCCCAGGCGCACGGTGCGGTGACCACGGGCAGCTGAGTGATGGGCTGTGTTTTCCCTTTCTCTCCTGACCAGGTCCTCGAGGCGACCAGGGTGAACCGCAGAAAGAGTGCTCTGGCGCTGCGTTGGGAAGCCGGCATTTATGCCAACCGGGAGGAGGATGAATAACCACGCTGCAGCGCGAAGACAGCGACCAGGCATGCCGAAACCAAAAAGAGAGAAAGGAAGAAAAAAAAACAAACACACAAAACACCACGAAAGCAGCAGCATTCTAGTCCAATATTTATTAAATACACAACAAACTCAATGATGCACATAGACACAGAAATGATCCAACCCCTGGTAATCCTAAAACAACAGGAAAAACCCACCTAGAAAATACCCCCTTCTCCTTCCCTCTATCCGCCCTCTGAAATAATGCAATGGGGAGGGTGCAGGGAGTGGGAGCCCTTGGGGGGACAAGGGGGCGGTTGTCCCCACCGGAGAGGCTGCAGGCGCGTGGCGGGAGGTCGGCGTGAAGGAGCCTGCAGCCAGGGCTCACGCTCACGCTTTCTGCTGACCACATTGACAGCCCTGCCTTGCTCCCAGGATCACCGTCCCCCCAGCAGCTCCCGTCGGACCCTCCGGCAGTTCCTTCGCCTCCCACAGCCGCTGCACCGAGACCGTCGGCGTTACTTCAGCAAACTCTATCCAGCCACAAAACACAACGATAATTGCCCTTTGTTGCTATTTCTTTGAGGGGACTGAAGGGTTGGGTTTGGGATTGGGGTTTTTTTGGGGGGGTGGGTTCTGCTCCCCTTTCTAGTAATTTATCTGTTTAAAAGAAAAAAAAAGCAAACAGGGAGGCAGTTACTGCAAATGTACAATCCAGTAGACTCATAAAACAGTCCTTGTGTTGCAAACACAAGCCATCACAATTTAGGAGTGGAATAGATGGGGATGAGAGCTAAGCCAAATGGATTACCTTAGCTTTAGGATCCTATATGCTTGCAATATCACCTGAGCTCCAGGTTCTCAGAGCATATTTACATAACAAAGTTTCTAAATAGAAAATCTGTATTTAGCGGATAACAACTATTTTTTGATGGTGGGGAGGGAAAAGAATGGCATATGTGTAAAATCTATGAAGATGGATAATCTGATGTAGAAAGCTAGTGGGAAAGGGATACAAATAAAGGACATTTAATTTTTAAATGAGGCAATAATTGAACTAAGCCAAACTCTGGCCTAGAAAGAGGTATGAAATAAAGAAGATAGATAGTTACGTCTTCAACTATATTTATACAACATAAAAAGCCTTTGAAGTAGAGTGCTTTGTGGAAGTCTTCACGTTTCCAGGCAACAAAAAAGCTAAAGGGCATAATGAGTTGGAAGGAGTGAGCAAGGAAGAGCAGACAAGGGAAGAAAACATTGTTTGCCATTCAGCCAGTGTTTTCAGTGCTACAAGCAAACCATAGAAGCCTTTAGTTATTGCTTAGGCTTGGGATCAGCAGTGAAGGATTAGTGTGGATCTGTGTGTGCATGTGGGCATGTGTGTGCAGGCATGTGTGCACGTGTGTGTGCGGGCGTGTGCGTGAGGCTGGCATACCAGAAAGTGTATGGCAGTGCGCGTGCTGATTATTTTCTCCAAAGCTGTTTACCAGCTATAGGGGTGAGTGCTAATTTTTTTTTTTCTGAAAGGGGATATAAAAACAAGGCACTGAGTTAATGCAGTATTTGTGATATTAAAATTTGACCCAACATGGTATTTGCATGAGTCACAATTGCAAAGTATTGACCAGTTTTGTAAGCTGACAATTAGGAAAAGAAATGTGGTATTTATTCTTGTGCTTTGTATTTGTATGTAGTATAGAGGCTGCGGGTTTACTCCTTCTTTTCACGCAAGCAATACAATAGGAATATTTTACAACTGGGAACCATAATTTCTGGACTAGAAACCAACAAGTTTGGGAGGTGACAGAAAAAAAGACACTGAGCTTTTTTCTATATGAAATATTATGTCTTTTTTATAAACAAACACTTATTATTTTGACATCTTTTTAAAAAATCATCATCCAGGATACTGGTCCTCCCTTAAGCCTTTCCTTGGTTTCATGACCTGCTGTGCTGTTTTATCCTGAAACAGTGAGCTCATTTAAAATGAGTACCGATACTGTGAACATACTTCTGGTGCTTTTCTTAAACAAACACAAAGCTTGCAACCAAATGATTCCCCCCCACCTTCAGTTCCTCCAGCATGTGATTTTTGTCCATGGACGCTATCATTTTGAGGCTTATTTTCAGGGACTTGTAGCAAATACAATTATATATATACCCATTAATTCAGTTCCGTCAATTATATCCCTAAGTGCTATTGAACAGAAGAAAACCCTGCTAACTGTGATAAGGGCAGCAAGCTTATCTCAAGGATGCGCTCTAAACCCAGGTGCATGGGGAGACACCATGCCTATGAAGGAATTACATACCTAATGAAGTGGACGCGTTGTTCAGACATGGCAATCGACAGTGAACTGTGATTCACGTCTGCAGGCGGGTCGTTACCATAAGACTGTAGGAAAAGCAACGCCACCAATGCAGCACTCTAGTGGGACCGTACGTCATGTAGCCACATCCATGAGCTCTGCGCATCTGTACCAAGAGGAGTCCTGGCTCCCTCCACCCTTGGGGAGACCGTAAGTGAGACTGGGAAACAGGGGTTTCCTGAGCGGAGGAGATGACCCTTGTACTTACAGTGAGGTGGTCTTGCACCAAACAATGCTCTTCAGAGTTTCCCCCAATATTTGCTCCCTGAAACCGGAGTAGCCCTGGGCTGCCTTCCCAGGAACCTGCATCTTTATTTTCTTTAACCTGGAGGCCTGCTTTTTCCTCCTGCTCTCTCACTGGAAGCCAGTGACATTGATCACCTATCACGAGACATCTCTTCATGCTTTGCCACATCCTCCCCTGTTGCCCCAATCAGCCCTCAGTCTTTGAAGTGAAAATTAAATTGTTCCCCTGGAAAGGGGATGTGGTGGTGGAGAGAGGCCAGGCAGGAGTCCTCTGCACTGGAAGCCCCTGTGACAAAAGTATTTGCATGTATCAGTGCAGGACAGCCAAACTTTCCACCCAGCAGAGTTTTTCTTTTCCAGAAATTATGGACACTCGTAGTCAGCAGCACACATTCAGTGCTGTGGTAACACGAGTGCAGTGCGGTTTACTCGCCTCTGTTATTTCATTTGCATGCTACCAAGCTTAGGTGTTTATAAGTATACGCCAGTAATACATATCTATCTATATATAACTATATCAAATGCAACAAGAGAGCACTATTGCAGAGTTAACTTTGTCTCCACAAAAGAAACGCTCAGATCCTTTCCCGTGGCAAAGACTGATTTTAATGAAACTGTGTATTGAGAAATAGTTAAGCATTAGCATTTGTGATTATAATCAGTTTGGGGTTACAGTGCAGGTTTTCTGAACAATTTGTTTTAAAAGCTGCCAGTTTGGGCTTCATCTTGCTCCATACTGACATTATCTGAAGGAAAATACAGTAGCATTGATGTGTTAGGCAACCAAAAGGCGGCATCCTTGTCATGACTTATCAACCAGTTTCAACAGTACCTGGCTTTCTGTATGTTAACCACTTAAATGTTATCCTGCTTCTGTTTTATAGTGACTGTGAGGCCTACAATGCAAGTATATAATTATTTTCTCATTAAAACAGAAACCTGTGTTGTGTTTCTATAAAGCTGCCTGTTTGTTCACGTTCTTGCAGGAAGGTGTACCCCTGCAAGCAGCACATGGCTGGAGGAGAGAGGCTTGTCTCCAACTCCCAAAGCAGTCGGTCTCCCTCCTTGACTGCTTCTGTCTTTTCGTCTAGAGGCAGGAGAGATCTCTTTTTCTCCACTCAGTGGTGTCAGCTGCAGATAGAAGAGCATCCCTGAGTATTTCTTTCCCATTAACATGCTTCTGGAGGGTTGCTGAGGCCAGATCTGCTTCATGATGAATTGCACGAGCTTTCTTACCTTGCTTCCTTCACACCTCCAGGACCCCTGCCATCCCGTGCGGCAAAGCACGTCATTTCAGCCAGTCATCCATTTCTTACATGCACAGCTGCAGCAACCAGCCACTTGCCCATTGCCCCTCTCTCATGGTCAGCTAGACCTGGAGAGACTCCATCCCTCACCCCTGCCAGGAAGCTGCAGTCACATTTGCCTGCAAGAGCTGGAAGGTGCCCGGGTGCCGGCTACGTGGCAGCTGAAGACCAGCCGCAGGGACTTGTTGAGAACTGGGCAGGTTTCACGCCAGCCTCTGCCCCTCCCTGTGCCAGGAATAGGCAGGCGTTTAATTATAACCCGGCTCCACAGCCCACAGGAGGAGGCTGAGGACACCGGTGATTTCAGTGGGAGCTGGCTAGGGCCAAGCACAGCCATTCAGTCCGTGCTCTCCGTAACACGAGCCCTCCTCTCCCTTGTGCACACAATGTCAGAAATGCCTATGGAGAAAAGCCAGATGTGGATTTCCTTTCCAGTTAGTAAATACTGCTGGAAGTCCGAAAACGGGTTAGAAAACAAGCCTGAAAATTTATCCACCAATTCTGGTCTCTACATCTGTGAAGAAAATGAGGTTATTGACTTTTCAACACCGAAGAGGCTTTCTGTCTTCCTTTGCCTTTCCTTCCTCTGTGCTAAGAGGCTAGCATATTGGAGTTACTGGCACAGAGTGGGAAAAGGAACTCCTTCTAGACCTCTCCTTTGGGTTTTATGAGAATTAAAAGTGGAAATTGGACATTTGCAGGGGAGCATGTAGGCATTGCAAAACTAACGCAGTGACGCCAGTGAGTGGCAGCAGCTCAGGAATTTTTGCAAAGCGTTCTGCTGTTACCAGTTGTTGGTATTTGTTTAATAACACACACTTAGGACATCTAAAATCCCTGCCGCCTCATTGCGTAGTCAAAATGGCATGCACCAAGCTTTACAGTATTTTTACAAAGTAGTTAAGGACTATAAAAGAGCCATTTTATCCATCATTTCTGGCATAGTCCCGTATAAGATGAGGATACTGCACCTCTAATAGTTGTAGGTGGCTTTAAGAGGCCTCACTGCAACAGCAAAGCAAATGGAGAGGCAAAGTATCTGCTCTGCGAGGTGGGTTTGATTAAACTGCTTTAAAAGGAGAGAGAGCATTTGGTACATTGTTTGTGAGTGGGAACAGAAGATTTAAAAAACCCCACAAACGGGGTCTGTAGTGTAAGAAAGCCAAGTCAGAGGACAAGCTGTAGCAGGGAAGGGACAGGGCTAGGCAGAACCAGAGCTGCAAATATTAGCATGGCCATTAGCACTAACGATGACTTTCGATTATGTTCTAGTTATTGAATTGACTAGGATGGGCAGTCCGGGAAACTATTACAGCATGTGGGTCCAGCCCTGCACTCCTCCCCAGGTTAAAGACTGAACAGCATCCCAGTGTTTCACAAGGGGCAGGGGCTATCCTGTCACATCAGCAATAGCACAGGGGGAAAAAAATTTAAAAACAAACTAACAAACAAACAGAAAACCCAAACAACAGGAAAACCCCCCAAATGCCATCCAGATCTCAGGGTCTGCTGCTAGCTCTGGCTGAGCCCTGGTTAATTGGCAACGTAACCCACTGCTTTATCAACGGGGTCTCCAGGAAGAAAGCTTTTACAGTAAGCACTAAATGTGGTGTCAGTGTGAGAGCTCCTGCTCAGTCCCAGGCATGTGTCATCTCTGCAGTGAATTCAGGCCGGTGTGCCACCAGGAGCTGGAAATGTTTCGGGCCTTGTTCCAATCTAGAGCGTGGCAGTAGCAGCAAGAAAAATCGATGAAGGAAGAAAAAAAAGGTGTGCAAAGCTGCTTTATCACATTCTCCCTTATTGCAAACTGCGCGGGGCGGATTGCATGGTGGGGATTTGTGCAGCAGCAGTGACATCTGGAGGGCGATTGCACTGACCATGGGAAGACCTTCATTTCCAAGGATGTCACCTGGAAGCCAAGTTCTGGGAGCAGCTGACACCTAGGACGGATGTGCTGACCGATGCTTTGGCATCAGTCTCAGGGCCCTATCAGTGCCAAGCCCACCACGATGGCACCTGTGTTACTAACACAGCAAGCCCTCTTGGGATCAGCCAAGGATCAGGAAGAGAGCCATGGTACATCTCACGAGCTTCCCAGGGGGAGATAGTTGGGATGGGGACCCCAGAAAATGCTGCTGTGCTTAGCATGCACACCCAGCGCCCTGGGCATGCCTCCTCCCATAACGAGCTTCTAGGGTGCAGCAGATCTCCCAGCCAGCCCTCGTTGGGAGCAACTGCAAACTCTGTATCGCCTCAGCAGGCAGCTTGGTGCAGGGCTGTGGCTGGGCATACGAAAAGCTT